CCCCCCCCCCCCCCCCCCGGGCCCCCGAGCAACACCGGCCATGGCGAGCCTATGTCTTCATCTATAAAGTCAGTGCCGGAGCCCCCCTGGGTGAGCCTGTTGTCAGGAGTGACCATGGAATGCCAGGGCCAGCTCCTGGCACCCGGGTGTGCTCCCTGAAGCCTGGGTGCCTCTTGCCCATTTGCCTGTCACTCTCCCTGCCGTCCTGGGTCGAGCCTCTTATTTTGCTGCTTCCTCCTCAGCACCCACAGAGGTCACCCCACCTGCTTCCTTATCCGCTGGTCCCAGAGCAGAAGGTCTCCCCCCAGACCTCCGGGAAGTGGTTCTGCCCCTCAACCATGCCCAGGCCTGGAGCCTGGCTTCTCTGTTCTCTCTCCACAGAGCTCTTGCCCGCACCTGCCCCGCGTTCAGGGCTGAGGGGCCATGACTTCCCCGCAGCCCCTCAGCCGGCAGCTCGGCCTCCGTGGGGAGCGGGTGCTGAGAGGGGCAGGGCTCTGAGTGAGAGGAGCCCTCCTGGGAGCAGGCGGCCCTTGGCCAGCAGGAGCTGCCCTGGCTCAGCAGCAGGAAGGCCTGGGCTGGCAGAGGGAGGCGTGAGGCCCAGGGGTGCGTGTGTTCCTTGTCACCTCGTCAGCCGATCCAGCCCGGGGAGCCCCGGAGGCCGAGGTGGTGGACACCTGGGGGACCCCAGGGGCATTCAGAGTGAAATGGACAACGTTCTGACCCCGGGTGCCCCAGAAGGGCCGTCATGTTGCCACCGAGTGCCCTGCCCCCACGCTGCCTCTGCTCGGATCCTAGGCAGATGGACACCCACAGCCCATGTCACCTGCAGCGAAACGTGTCTGCGATGACCTCACCCGGGCTGTCACCCTAGCCTGTCCGACAGGTCTGGACAGAGCTCCCTGTGCAGAGTGTGGGCCGGTGTTTGGGTCTGAAGGGGATGCGTCAGAAAGGTGCCGGCTTGATGTGCGTGTTCATTCTGACCCATTAACCCACGCACTCCGCGCGGTGCCACGCTGGTGCTCCCGCAGAGCCAGGCCCAGGCAGGCTGTCTGCTCCCTCCGCCCCGGGCTGGTCTACGCTGCTGGCACCACACACCCACACCCACACACATACACGCACACACATGCACACACCCACACGCACACACATGCACGCGCACACGCTCACACACAGGCGCGTACACACTGCATGAAGCTCCCACCATCAAAGTCACATCTGTGGGTCAGACAACTCTCCCCGGAGAGCACCTCCCCCGAGTCCTGCCCTTCAAGCTGCTCTACGCTGCTCCCCGTGCTGGACAAGGACGTGGGGAGACGTCCCTCAGACCCGGCAGCTGGACGGGTCCCTCCTCCTGGGCCTGTCCCCCCCGCAGGTGAAGCGGGAGGACGAGCCTGCAATCCGTGCACCTGACCTTCCGTCCACTGTGACTGGTTCACCGGCAGCTGCTGTCGGGCGGACGCTCCCAGAGGAGCTGCTGTGCGCTCTGCCTCCCCCTGTGCCTGAGCCTCGGGGACCACGGCGGCCCTGGGAGGGCACAGCGGCCCCGGGACCAGAAGGCGAGTTGAGCTGGTGCCTCCGGGGAGAGCGGCCAGGCCCCTCTGTCTTCAGGGCACCTGCTATCCTAGATGGTGACACCCTGCTCCGGATGAAGTTTGGGCCCAGCCCTGCGTATGAGCCGGAGCGGGTGCTCTGCTGGTAACAGACGTGGGAGCCCCCAGGCCGGCTCTTGGCCTCATCTCCCCTCCTCGTCCCTGAGGCCTTGACGACATGTTCAAGGCCCCCCAGGTTCCATGAGGGCCACGTGGAAAACAATCCAGTCCAGCCCTCGGTTTCACAGGGAAACCAAGACCCCGAGCACGAAGGTTAGAGTCAAACCCAGGAACAGAACCGGGTCGGGTCCTGGAGCCCAGGCAGAGGCCCTGCGTGTCCTGGCTGCCGTGGGTGCTGACGACGGATCCTCGTTCTGCGTGATTTCCTGTCAGCTCCTGGAGGGGGGCTCTGTGGCCCCCCACATCTCGGCCTCCCAGTAGGAAGGTGGGAGCCAGGCTGGGGTGGGAAAGTGGGGGGGGGGACTGGGAGCACCTCCTTCCTGGGCCAAATGAGGCTCCGGAGGCATCTGGGTATTTTCCCATCTCCACATGCCCCTCCCTGCCCAGGGGGAGAGCCACCCACAGCTCCTGGTCAGGAGGGCTGGGCATGGCCGTCGGCGGGCCACCTGTGGGGAAGGAGCCTCGGCCGAAGCTGAGCCCTTAACGCACGACCTTCTCCAGGTTTCCCAGTCTACACGCCCCTGCTGCTTCCCACAGCAGCACAGGCAGGGCCGCATACACGGACTTCACGCAACACACGGACCTGCCACACACACAAACACATGCAAAATCCATGAATGAACATAAACACCCACATGCCTAGAAACACACACACATGTATATACCCAACCCACACACAAATGCCTACCTTACTAATAGTGTCCACCCACAGGCCCAGGCAGGTTCTGCACACGACCACACGCAAAGCACACGGGGCCGGCTGAGCGAAGGTAAAGGCGGCCAGAGCGGGGTGGGGG